AGAGAATGACATAGAAGAGATGCATCCTTCACGTGACATAGGCAGGAAGTGGAGAATGACTGAAGAGGCCAGTGAGGCGCATTTAGCACATGATTGAAATGAGAAACGCGAGAAAGCCGGAGCAAAGTGGCTGAAGAGACTCATGAAAACGTGAGGCACGTTTGGTGGCTATTAGGGTACGGAGTTAAATTTTATGCAAATTATAAATTTTCTTATAAAGATATATTATTCTATTAACAATAATCACAAACTCTTGTTATGAAAATACAGATTCGACAGGTATCGGTAAATATTAAAATTATATCGATTATTTTACTAGATATCCGCATATTGAAATTATTAAACCATTTAAAATGTATAAAAATATGTTAGTGAAAATTTTATGCTTAAGTTTAACTCGTTATAAGATAATATTAAAAATTAATAGGTATCGATAAACTGGTTTTTCATAATTAGTACAGTACTATATTTGTTTTATTTACGGACTACGGGGACAAATTTAACATTTTAATAATTATTCTTCACATAATCACATTATCTTTTAATTTTTACTTTATATTTTTACTTTTATTTTTACTTTCATTTTAATTGATGATAATAAGTTTGTACTAAAAAAAATTCAGTTGTTTACATCATCCTATACATAGAATTAAAATGCTTTTAACAATAAAGTTTTTCCAATTCCTATTATATATAATGTTTTCAGTATACAAAATTGAGTTTAAAATCAACATTTGTCCATATTTGGATTATTTACAATGGTATTGCTATTATGCAACCAAATAGATAAAAATAAATGTGATCTTTTTATTTTATTTTACTTTTTTTGCAAATATCATAGTATCATAAAAAGTTTTATTAATTTTGAACTTCTGCCAGAGATATTAAGATTTTAACTTTTTAAATAAATTAAGATCTAATTGACTATCATATTCTCTCTTTTTTGGTTGCTTTAACTCATTGAACATGTTGATATGATGTTGGTCAAAAATACGATGACAATTCACGTGAAATATCCCCTGATTTGCATTTTATGGATTGTGCTAGTAATTGAAAATAGAATTTTGTGATATATTTACAATGAAATAGGAGATAACTAATTATATATCATTTTTTGTGAAATCAATTTTGTAGATCTATTTCAGCCCATGCGTCTCCTGAAATCTGGATACCACCTTTCGAGTCTTATATCTTAGTGAGATGTCGCAGGATTTTTGAGACGAACTGCAACATAAACAAGAAGTGGTCAATAGAATATCAACATAGTTAGCTTTGATAGATTTTAGCGTATAGATAGATATATATAGAAATTAACCTCTCGCTTTCTCTGATGTTGACACGTGTACTATTATTAATAAAAATTGAATCTACTTTCTCTTGCTAAGTGCCTAAGGCCAAGCATTTACGAAAAAAGTTTTCACATGTTGTGGGTATGAAGAGGAGTATATTAGAATACGCTAACTTTTTTATCTTTAGGTGCAAGTGTTAAGCCCAGATCTTACCATTTTTTCCTCTGAGAGATAGACATGAAATCATTCCACAGGTCTATATTTTGAATCAGAATTTTCTTTCCAACTGTATTAGCATTAATAAATAAGTTTAACATTAAAATACAGTATATAAAGGACCATAGATCCGCTTTTGCTTTGCAAATAATATCAAAAGTCAATAAATTGTTGTAAAGTCTAAAAGACAATAAAATATTATAAAGCTCAGTGTATCACTACTTTTTATCATAACAATATGTATGGATAAGATATTTTTTTAATCTCACTTTTCATTTCCGTCATGGCATTCCGTGAGATGCTATCCTGAGACATCCTAACAATGGATATGATCCAGAATGTTTTTTTTTTGGGAAACATTATTACATACACAGTTCTAGCAGGTGCATTCTTATTTTTTCGTAAATATCAGCCCAGGACAAATAATGAACTTGAAAGAACAGCCTGGTGCTAAATAATGAACTTCAAAAAATGCGCTCTGAAAATGAGTGGTGGAATGACGTAATCTCACAAGATAAGTCTATCATGCCGCAGTCTGCATGTGATTCATTGCCTGTGATATGTGATTCGTGGCGTTATCCTAATACATATTATTCTGCACCTATTTCTAGTCAGATCAAACCAATTCTCTTCTGCAAATCAAGCCAATACCCCATGTTCAGTAATGAGAATAAAATATATTGGGTCAAATTTACTGTCATTTTTGACCAGAGAAGAAAAAAGAGAAATGTTCTTCTTGATTTCTACCCTTATTACTGGTTTGGTGGTTGAAATTGCTGCACCAAATGCAAACAATTATAATCTTCTCTTGATTCACCTTCCAAGAGATATTGATGGTCACTGGACAATTTTTGGAACTGTGCTTCATTGTTGTGATCTAAGAAAGTTGGATAAGACGTCAATAAAGAAATTTCATTTGACTTACATATGTGGAATTCATTTTTTTCTTCTTGAGGCCTTTCTTTAGAAGAGGCGTGTATAAGTGACATAGGGTGTCCTATAGGGTAATTATCATTATTGTTGTTCCGTTCACTTTTACAACCATTGGTTGCGGATGATTGGGACTGTTGAAAATTTGATTATTTTTTCTAATGTATATTAAAAGAATAAGCATCAACATCATGTCATGCATAAAAGAAAACTAACCTTTAAGACTTACTTATACAGAAATCTGTCCTACCATGCTTTGTACTTCTTCATGGAGACTTGCCTCTCTTCGCATTGGTATCCTAACCCAAAAGCAGTTGGCTTATTTAATCATGTGTATGAAAAAAGATTCCCTCAATATAAAAATGATCATACATATGAAATGTTATATAGATATAATGTAATATGGATCTCGTTTAACTCACTGACAATTACTTCACCAACAATCATTTCATCAACAAGCAATTTCACCAATAAATATAAAAATTTTATAAATATTTTTACCAAGATTAGTCACTGATTGGATTCACTGCTAAATTTCATGGTTAGGTTATTAGTTAGGGCTGCTAGTTATAAAAGTAAAAAAATTTTGTAAAAGTTAAACAAAATTTTAGTTTACTTTATCAAATTAACTTAGCAGGTAATAGATAAGGGTTAATTGATAGTTTGGGTATTTTTTTTGTTTTTTCTTGGTTTTTATATATATTCTTTTAGATAGATACTTATGCTTTACGTGTACATGATAGTTCCACATTTGTGAGAATTGTTACACTAATAAAGTTTAAGATCCAAAAAAAAAAATTAAAATAAAAATAAAAATTTTTTTGCATATATCTTTATATCTTTAGTATAAAATGGGAAATTTTTACATATTTTACAAAAAGAAAAAGAACCAGAAATAAGAAATTCAGATTCAAACAGTTTATAATGACCAGGATAATATAAAAGATATTGATTTTCCTTAGAGACATAATCTATCATTTTAGCTTAATTCTATCAAGAAATTATGATTTAAGGAGGGTCTGCCAAAAGTTTACTACCTAGAATACAATCATATTCATTTTTTCTGGGAATTGTAAAGGTGTATTCTTGTTATTGGATAGGTTGGCCAGTTGTGAAGACTTCCCTATAAAAAATAAGTGTCCGGAAAATGTCCGGAAAACACTCGTTTCCAGACACTCATTTTGTCCAGAATTTGTCCGGAAATTGACCTGAAATATTTTTTCATAAAATTTGGCACAAAAAGATGATCAACAGGTGACCATCATTATAATTGCTTTTAACCTAAAGTTTTATATCATAGATATATAGTATTTTTGCCTGCTCAGCAAATTTAATTAGTATGACAAAGAAGGTTATGAATGTCAGACTTGTGCTTTTTGCATTTTTTTACAAAATTAATTTATCCTTTTTTGGAAGTAGCGTCCAGAATTTGTCCAGTTCAAATTATCTGAATTTTTACTATGTCCGGAGTTTATCTGTCCGGAATTTGTCCAAAATTTTATACTGGACAAATTCTGGATATATTCTGGACAAAAGTCCGAATATGTCAAAATTTTAGGTATCAAATTTGTAGCAAAAAATAGACATTTTCTGGACAATTTCCAGACATTTTCGTGGACATTTTCTGGACATTTATTTTTTATAGGGGCTTGTGTCATAAAAATATGTCAGGTTGGTCTAAAAAAGCATCAGTTTCTATGTCAGAAGAAATTGCTTATAGATTTTCTTTGTAGTTTTGCTCTTGTGCCATTTCTTTGATAATCTTCCAGATCTACAAAAATTACTTTATGGTCTTATTTTTTGTAAAAAAAGCTAAAATTACCTTTTCTAGCATCCATTTCTCTTCCAATTGAAGATAAAACATAAAGATTAGGATTATAATTGATAGAGACAAAGTTGACATTGTCCATTTTGATGTTTTCTTTTGTGATAAATATCAATAAGATTTTATGAAAACAATGAATAAAATGGTTTATAAGTAAGAAAAGTAAAGAAAAGTAATTGAATATGAAAAAGTAAGGAGTAATTACACAATTTTTACTGGGATAAGTATCAAACTCCAATATTGTCATTATTATAGTCGCATCTTAAAGTTCATTACGCCAATAGGCTATTGGATGACTTCCATCTGTTGGTCACAATTTGATGGATATGTTTGATGTTATCCGAAAATTCTTCTATTGTCTTTATACATGAATCACAATCTCGGTGAGATCATTACATCCTATTACAAAAAATAGCAAAAGTAGTTCTAAATCCGAGAGACTCAGAATCTTTTGAATTTAGGATCAGTTTCAGAATCAACTCGAGTTGGCTCATTGAATTCGTATGATTTGATGAAAGAAAGGAAAGAAAAACTATTGAGAATCGTTTCATGTACGTTTGTTTATATATATAGATAATTACAAACGATTATAAACATTTTAATAGCCGGACAAATCAATTATTACGTAAACTTATGTAAAAATATTAGGTATTTAGAAGATGCACAGTAATATATAATTTATTTAAGTTCAATATTATAATTAAATTATTAATCATTTATCAAATTTTACCACAATTAAATATACTATTAAAATGATAACCATTTTTTATTATAATATAATAACGATTTTATTTAATAATTATTCTTAATTCATTTAATGAAAATGTAATTTACTTAACTATTTCATAATTCAATACTAATTTTTCATGCACAAATCATAAATTATATTAGTTAACCTAACTACTTGAATTTTGTATAACAGCTCGTGCTTGAGCTATTGAAGGAAAAACATAATGTTCACATTCATAACACCTTAAATAAACAATTAATATGTTAAATACGTAGTAATTATATTAAGAAGTTATTAAATGAATAAATTCAAATTACATACCAGGCTTTATAAGTTTTTAAATCAAGTGAAATATTATGATTTGCTTTTTCTTCATAGTGTTGAATTCCATGTTTTTCATCAAAGCGACCACAATGTGGCTTACAGCAAGTAAGACAGAGCCAAATAGTTTGTTTTGATAATGCTTTTGTATTATTATTAACACAAGTCTATTTATTTCATGATGATAATCTGATTAATATAATCAAAAAAAAAATAAAGATAAAAATACAATTATAATTAACGTGAATACCTACTGTACATTTAATATTCAAAGGCACCAAGTTTGGCAACTTCTTTTCAAGTTTCTTTATATTCACTGATTCTTTGACATGCTTGCAACTTATATTTAAAAGGTCAAGAATTGAATTGCTTTCCGTATCTAGTGTGATAATGCATCAAATAAATTAATGAAACCTCATTTAAACCATTTGTAAAATTTGGACCAACTAGTATAATTTAATCCTACCTTCTTCCTCCACATCTCTCCTGAAATATTTTTGAATAATAGCTTGTGCTTGAGCTATAACTTGATTTTTATTCAATGAAGGAAAAACATAACGTTTACATTCATAGCACCTTAAAATAAACAATTAATGTGTTAAATAGTAATTATATTAAGAAGATATTAAATGAATAAATTCAAATTACATACCAGGCTTTAAAATTTTTTAAATCAAGTGAAATATTATGATTTACTTTTTCTTCATAGTGTTGAATTCCATGTCTCTCATCAAAACGACTACAATGTGGCTTACAACAAGCAAGGCAGAGCCAAATAGTTTGTTCTGATAATGATTTTGCATTAGCATTAACGCAAGTCTATTTCAAAATGGTAATTCGATTAATATAAACTAAAAAAAATCATTTATAATTAACGTTCAACTTAAATACATACTATACAATTGATATCTGAAGGTATCATGTTTGGCCACCTTTTTTTAAGTTTCTTTATATTTACTGATTCTTCAACATGCTCGCAATTATATTCCATAACTAATAAAATGATACATTAAAAAGGTAATTTAATATATATTCGCAAAATTAAACCAACTATCGATATGTTTAATCCTACCTTTTCTCTCTATCTTCACATCTCTCAGATACTTTTTGATAACAGCCTGCGCTTGAGCTATACCTTGATTTTTATCTAATGAAGGAACAACATAAAATTCACATTCATAACACCTTAATATATAAACGATTAGTAGGATTTAAAATATATTACGAAAACATCAAATAAATCAATCCAAATTACGTACCAGGCATTAAATTTTTTTAAGTCAATTGAAATGTTATGATTTACATTTTCTTCATAGTGTTCAACTCCATGTCCTTCATCAAAACGACTACAATGTGGCTTACAACAAGCAAGACAGAGCCAAATAGCTTGACTTTGCAAAGAACTAGAAGGTTTTTTAGATTCGATACTATTTTTAACACAAGTCTGATCGAGAAAAAGTAAATTGTTAATAATAAATATATAACGGACTAAAATAAAATCATATAACGGAATATATTTGAAATATTAAACATACCACACATTTGATATCTGAACATATCAAGTTCAATATCATATTTTCGAGTTTCTTTATATTTACCGAATCTTTAATATGAATGCACCGTTCATTATTACTGTATACAGCGGGTACGAAAAATGTAGATGGAAATTCTTCGACTTCTATAAAACTCTATTTAAGAACAAAAATTATTTACATGAAAAAATATATAATAAAATTTCGAAAAATAAATAAAATACATACACAATTTTTTATTTGATTCCGTTCAGAAATAATTTCATCAAATTTCTTTACTAATTCATCAATAGATTTAATATTTCTCATTTTATTAGCAAATTCATTTTGTAACGATTTATCATTTGAAAATGCTTCTTTCCAATATTTTTTAACTTCATCAATTTCTTCATTTATTTCTGCATCACAACAGAGTGAACAAAAATCTCTAGTGAATTTAATAATATCACCTCCATCATTTTCCGAAATATATTTCATATATTGTAATTTTCTTTTAGAAGTATTTTTAAACATTGTATGAAATGGATTTTCTTTTAAAACTTTAATTAATTCATCAATATTTTTTATGTTATGTTGCGAAATATTTATATTAGAATTAATTAAAAGTTTACATATTCTCAAGATTTCTCGATCGGTTGTTATTTGTTTTAATTGACAAAATAATTTAATTTGTTTAATCCATTCTTCTGGATGAATTGTTCCATCATAATTTGGTGGTTTCATAATGAAAGTAAGAAAGGGAGTAGTGGGAAATTATTTTTTCTCATTTTCTTTTAGTGGCTCAATTTACGCCAGATCATCACGTCACGTGAGAAAAGTATCATGACGCTTTGACATTTTATTCAGAAAATATTATGTCGGTTCTTTATACGCTGAATGTAATCGTTTCAAGTTAGTTAAACATCGATCCGTTTCTAAAGAAATTTCAAGAACTTCTATGATAGGAGAGGTTAAATTTCTTCCAGGAAAGTTAATTCACCTCAATGTCCCTCTAGTACCTCCCTTACTAACCCTCTGCTAAAGAAACGAAAATAAAAAATAAAACTAATAAAAAAATTAAATTAACGAAAATGAGAGAATAAAATAACAAGCATAAAAAAAAAAATCAACGAAATAAAAAAAATAACAAAATATCAGAAACTCACTTGCAACAGTACTAATCGCCAATTTCTTATCCAATGACATTCCTACACGAGCAATAAAATAAAAATAAAATAAAAAAAAAAAGCAAAAGCAAAATAAATAAAAATAAAATAAAAAAATATTATGGTTATTCTGCGTAAGGTTGACAATTATTATAGAAATTACCAAGCTTCAACTTACCATAATGATGAACTCGATGGTGTTGGTTGGCGTTTTACTTTTTTTTTCGATTTTTTTTTATCACTTTTTTATTTCTATCTTTTAATTACTTTCTAATAAAATTATTTTTCGACAATAATTTTGCTTATTTGAGTCGTTGAGAATGGATCGTCCATCAAGTTTTTCAGGATCTGGTTCTATTTGAAATCCAAAAAGTCAATTAACATATACTATGTATATATAAATTTTTTTTTACTACGATTTATGGAAATAAGCGTTGTCATGTTGCTGGAAAGTTCCTTTATTTGTCGCATCTCTAAAATCTCAAAGAGCATTATTTAAAATTCGCATAATAAAAAATTATACCTGTCTCGATTCATTCACTATACGCAATGTATGTAATTCGTTATAGCTAAATTAGAAAACACGTGCTTGCATGAATTTTTAAATTTAATATAGTGCGAATATTTAATATATGAATTTTCATTTCATATTTATTTTTATTTAATTGTTTGCTAATCGGCTATTACTCGTTTACCCATTTTAATAAGATAAGAATGTACAATATGTACTTTCATAATAATTTTTTTAATGAAATTAATAATGAAAATTAGTAAACGCTAATTAAGATCATTAAAACTACTAATCAATATCACCGCTATTTTTCTACCATCTACTTAATTATTAAAAAAAAAAAGAGAGATTCTATCTTTCCTTCTAATATATGTAATATATGTAAAAGAAACTAGGTATAATTTGTAAGTTATATTCTAATAATGATAAGACCGTTCATCATCATCAGAATAGCCATTATTCTCATCAAAAGAGCTATCAGACTCATCGTCACAATCATTAGCAAAATGACTTGGACTGCCACATCTAAAACATCTATAAACCTTATTGTTATCATTCTCATCACAAGAGCTATCACTTTCATCAAAATAATCATTACAATCATTAGCAAAATGATCGGTACTGCCACACTTAAAACATCCATGAGAATTATTATTATTATCATTCTCGTTAGAATAATTACAGTTATTAGCGAAATGACCAGTCCTACCACATTTGTAACAAGTATCATTCCCAGAAGAAAGGTATTGATGAATACTCTGTATTTCTGTTTCTGATAAATTCACATTAGTATAACAACTGCCCCTTACATTATCAATACCGTATTTGTTCATATAATCGAGAGTTTTAGTTAATTCTAAGTGGGAATTATCAGTTTTTTCAGACTCAACAATTCTTATTGGCTGATGTAACCATGTCCATTCTGAACCGGATCCATTGCAATGTTCTTCAAACCTAACATCAACACTTCTAGAAGTTTTCCCGACGTAATATTTATTATTTCTGCACTCCAAGACATAAACAGTAGTCATTTTGATCAATAACTAGATGAAAACACCTTCGTTTAATTTATAAGGGATGTTAAAAATTTTTTGTCGAGTGATCAAAGAGAAAGAGTTTTTCTTTTATTTACGTTGATCGTATAATTAAGAAAAAAGGTCGAGAAAAATGTAAGTACTACACGTGAGAAGAATTTAACCGTCTTTTATAATAGAACAAGTTCTTTTACTAATAGGGTTTTCAAAAATATTGGACGACTACTGGAAGGAAAACGAGAAGTCCTACAAAGCTTATCAAGGATATAATACTAGGTTAAACGCAGGAACCGGAAGTTTATTAAAGAAGTATGAAGAGATAGCGTATGCAATATATCGAAAGAATCTCCCATTTTATCATGTTTCTGTAAAATGATTTGTTCCTTTTTGTTGAGGTCAATTTCCTTTTTCTTAACTCTAGCATCATTTTCTTTGTTCTTTTGCTACGTTCCCCATAGGGAAACGAACGAAGCAAGATCAACGTGGCAAAAACTTAATTTAGTTAAGTGACTAAGTTAGAAAAAGTTGCTATACATGAAGATCACAAGGTAATACAAAATGTATCGCTGATTCGCTGTCATCAATAGATCACGTGAAAATATTACAATATGTAAATAAGGGCGAAAATGAATTTAATAAGAAAGCAGAAAAACATAATTATGAAAAATACTTGGGAAGTGATTCTTAGTACTTAGAAAATGTCAAGTATTTAACGAGATGGTTGACGTGAAACTGTCACAAATTCGAGTCGGATATAGATGGCAACTATCAAGTGATAAAGAACTCAATAAAGAGATACTAAAATAGAAAAAGCTAATTATGATTTGAAGAATTTGTTGAAATTACGATGTTAAATTTGATAAATTGATGAAACTTAACGATAAACAGTTTAAATAGAATTAACAAAAGTGATAGAAAATCGATAGTAGATGAAGGTATCGAAGGCGCATATCAAGTTATGAAGCTTTAAACAAAATGAATTTAACTAATAAAATCGTGTATTGAATAAAAGATATGAACAGAAATTACCAACGGATAAAGAGAAGAAAATGATAATAACAAAGTTTAGATAATTTATGACTTTTTGTTGGATCGTTAGGTCTTAGTTTAACAAAAAGTATATAATATAATCATTGATGGTTTTTATTATTCTTTTTCTAGTTTTTTTTTAGATATGGTAGTAATTAGGTTGTCTTAACTGATGATCAATCAATAAATCAACGAAATTCATAATAAAGAATAGGTTACATAGCACATAGTATGTCTAGAATGATTATTTACTGTAACTCGGAAATGAATCTTGCGAAACTTCGTAGAATATTCATTTTCATCAGTTTAATACTTGAGAGACAATCTTATTAAGAAATTTTATGTATTTTTAATTATAATTGACTTTTAATAAATCTAACGCACATAGTTATATCAAAGAAATTTCTTGTGATTTCGTAAAATGAACGTAACACTTCTTGCGATAAATAGTTTTCATTATTGACATTATATTCATCGAATAATATCGAAGGGCACCCGCATGATAAAAAAAATCATAAGAAAAATTCTTGTCATATAGTTCTTAGAAATTTATTCAGACATTACTAGACATTTAACATAAGATTTTCTCTCCAAATATACATTATATTAACGTTAAGTACTTGCAAATATCGAATATTTTTCCTTTTTATCACTATTCGATAATTAGTATTTGTGATACATTGAATCTTAGAGTCATCGTTTTGAAAGAATAAGAATTTGAAAGAAAGAAATTATATTCATATGATAAGATCTTTAATAACGATTAAAAAATTTTACTTTTTTTACTTTTTTTAAAGATTATTATTACCGTAAAGTCCCGAATATAAGCAACCTTTTTTTGTTATAGGGGTGCTTATATTTGGGTAAATTTATATATTTGGTATATTGTAGTATTGGCCAAAATTATCATAGTGTTGGTCAAGGGTGCTTACTTTCGGGTAATATAAAATCTGGGGGTGCTTATATTCGGGGTGCTTATAATCGGGACTTATGTTCTTCCCCAAACCGGTAACCAATAATTTATACGTCTAAAATTTAGTGAAATATATGAAATATATTTTTATGATATAAAAAAATATATAATTGCATTGTATTTAGTTAAGAAACTTTTTATATATTCATAAATCATACCCCCTTTCCCCCATGTGATTGGACGATTTAAATCACGGTAATCAAAAAAAATAGCTAAATAAAAATCTAATATTTATTTACTTAAAAAGTTTTATTATATTTTTAGGAATATTCAAGAATACATGTATTGTTGTGAAACATTTATAAATAAATTTTATAATACAAAATTCGTTCTTATATTTTATTTTTTTTAGATCAAATTATTGTTGCTATATAATTTTTACAGTCACGTTTACGCTTTATAATTCTTATTAGAAAATGTTACGTTGATTATACTAGTTTTTTCAACTTTTCAATTCGTTCATTATACTCTGAATGTAGTTTCTCCATTACGGTGTTAATTCCTCTATTAAATATATATACAGTATAAAAAAAAAATAACGAAAATAAAAATAAATCTTTTCAAAATATAAAAAAAAAAAAGTAAAATAAAAAAATAAAACAAGTAAAATAACGAAAATAAAAGATAAAACAAATAAATAAAACAAGAAAAGCAAAAAATAACAAAAAAATAAAATTCAATAAAAAAAAAAATAACTGAAAAATGAAAAAAAAACAATATAATGGAAATAAAATAAAATAAAATAATAAAACAATAAAAAAAATGGCGAAATAAAAAAATAAAATTATAAATAAAAAAATCAAATTGAAAAATAAAAAAAAATATTATGGATGTTCTGCGGAACTCCTAATAGGCTGACGATGGTGCTGATGGCGTTTTATTTTTTTCTTCGATTTTTTTTTATCCCTTTAACTTCCATTTCACTTTCTAGTAAAATATTTGGGTTGTTAAGAATAGACCTTAGTCTGTAAGTTCTTCATTATGGTACGAAGGATCGACCCCTATTTGTAAATAAATACTGTTATAATATATATATCAGAGGATGGTTTTTTTGGTTTAGAAATAGTTGATATAAACGGGATATGTGAAAAAATTAATATAGAGGATAAGAAAAAATTTGTTAAAATTGCATTGGTGATGGTACCGTGTAGCGACTGTAACGTCAATACAGAATTGAGAACTGATAAAAATATTATAAAATAGCTATGTGATTATAGCGAGATAGGTAGCGTAAGAAGAGAGCAAGATGATAGATTGTATATGTATTTGAGTTTTGTTAATACGATATCAGAATTGAAAAATATATGTTTAGTGTTTAAAGATGATAAAAGAGATACATAGTGAATGGCTACACAAGAAGTGAAAATACCAGCAATCAAAAAAGAATTAATACGTTGTAAGAATACAATTCAAGAAATTAATATTAATATGAATAATATTTTAGTAGATGAATATAAGTATAAGATGGAATTGTATACCAGTAGAGGGTGCATTTAGAAACTGGTTTAAATTAATAAGTTATAATAGTACAAAATTGATTTGATGTTGCTGGACTATGTGAAAAATTGTTTTGTAGATTCAAAAGAAGCAAATTTAACAATTGATTGGCCATTGTCTTTTAAATTGATTAATAATGAATTTAAAACGAAATGTAATGTGACTAATCAAGAAGACGCGTCGGCAAGAACGTTTAGGGTTAAAAATTTTTTGAAAATGTTGCCAACTTATAGAACTTTAAACGAACGTAAAGTGTGTGGAATAGATAGTGCTAAGTGTCCTAGATGTAATGTTATGGACGAAGACTGGGAACACTTATGGGTATGTGAGAAAAATGATGATATAACGTCAGAATATGCGTCATTAGAAAATAGTATTCACGAAATTTTACAGGAGATTAAAATGAACGATAGTGATGAGATAAATGTAAGACTGGTTGAAATGAAGGATGCTTTGACTGAGGTATCAAAGTCACGCTCTTGTATCGAAGTAACAGAAAATGTTCTTAGAGAATTGACAAGAGGTATTATCAACGAAAAGTGGATTAAAGTGTGTAAGGTTAAAGGAGATAAAGATATAATTTATAAAATATATAGATATATGGATAAAATACAAAAGTTATTTTGGAATAAAGAAACGATAGAGCTCGAAAAAATTAGAGGAATAACGAAAGAATTAAAAAGGATAAGAGGGAAAAAAGTAATTGAGAGTGAAGGAGATGAAGGTAGTAGTGACGACGAAGGAAAGAATAAAAATGAAAAAAAAAATAGTAAAAAATTAAAAATAATTACAAAAAATATGATGTTAGAAAATAGTAAAGATAACGTATTTAGATTAGGAGAATATGATAAAAATAAATGGGGAATTAGGTAGATATAGTATACTTCGTTATTTGCGGCTCGCTCATTACTTGCTGTGGCTGGAGCTAAAGGAATTGTTAAAATCAAACATAGTGTTGGATCGGTTATAAAGTTATACGAAGGTTTTTGATATGAAGAGATTGAGTTGGGCTCATTTAGAGTTGTTTCTTAATTTATATGTATTTCTAAATTTACGATGTAATATGAAATTTAAATACAATTACTAATAAAGAAATGCGTTTATCAAAAAAAAAAATAATAATATATATATCAAAGCATTATTTAAAATTCGCGTATACCTGTCTTAGTTGTATGCAACTTATGTAAAATTCGTTATAGCTAATCAATTTCATATATTAATTGTATATACTGTATTGTCGAATATTTAATGTATAAAATAATTTTCTTTTTCATATTTATTTTTATTTAATTGTTGTTAATTATTCGTTTATTCATTTTAATAAGAAAGAAAAGAACATACAACGTATTAATTATATTGTATTGCAATTATTATTTCTTTAATAAGATTAATAATAAAATTTGTAAATACTTAAAATACACGTAATTGATGAATCAAAATTGGTCAATTAGTAGGAAGGTCTCTTTTACTACTACTACAACTTTGACAATATACAATATCCCATTACCATTCTTTTCATTCCCGGTTAATTACTAAAAAAGATCCTCTCATTTCGTTATATATATAAAAAGAATACTTAACACTATGATATGAATAAAATGTCAATATAATAAGCGACCTTTTAACGTACTGTACTATTTAGAAACTAGTTATAACTTGTAATCATTTTATACATTTTTAGTTATTACATCTATTAGCATAATGACCAGTATGGCCACACCTGTAACATACAACATAACTAAGGCGTTCATTATCATCATAATAGCTATTATCCTCATCATTAGAACTATCAGACTCTTTATAACAATTATTAGCAAAATGACTTGGACTGCCACATCTAAAACATCTATAAAACTTATTATCATCATTCTCATCACAAGAGCTATCACTTTCATCAAAGTAATTATTACAATCATAAGCAAAATGATCGGTACTGCCACACTTAAAACATCCATGAGAATTATTATTATTAGCATTCTCGTTAGAAAAATTACAGTTATTAGCGAAATGACCAGTCCTACCACAGTTGTAACAAGTATCATTCCTAGAAGAAAGTAATTGACGAATATTCTGTTTTTCTGTTTCTGATAAATTCACATTAGAATAACAACTGCCTCTTACATCATCAATACCATATCTGCTCATATAATCGAGGGTTTTATTCAGCTCTAAATGAGAATTATTGCTTCTTTCAGACTCAACAATTCTTATTGGCCGATATAGACGTGTCCATTCTGAACCAGTTCCATTACGATGTTCTTCAAACCTAGTATTAACGTTTCTTCTAGTTTTTCCGACGTAATACTTATTATTGCTGCACTCCAAGACATAAACAGTATCCATTTTGAAATTTATAAATTTACAAAACTAGATGAAAATACTCGTTTTAATTTATAAAGGAATGTAATTATGCGATCAACACAAAGAAAAATGCAAAACAAGGTTTTGAGTTGCAGATCTTTGTATGACGATAGATAAGGTATCGGTTACATAGCATGGGCTAAATTTTTGTAACATAAATCCTAAAATGTAATTGTACTTGATTTTTGGTTAAGATAAACTGATCTTAGAAATATTATTCGTTCTTAATAGTACATTATATTTAAATTTTAATATACAATTTGTAATTGTTTATTGTTGTGTTTAATTTTGAAACAATACTATTATTTTCTTTATGAACAATATTTTTGCATAACTATTTACTGTGACTTGACTTTTATAGGTTTGAAATGAAGCTCTGCAGATGTTCATTCTTATCAGTTACTTGGAAGATTATTTAGTTTATCAAAAGTAAATTATAATTAAAATACATAAAATTTCTTTTACTAGTAATGCACATGACTGTATTGAAGAGATCCGGTTTTTCAAGTGTTTCCGTTTATAGTGCATAAAATGAACGTGACATTTTTACGATAAATAGTTTCCATTATTATTATTTTATTCATCAAATAATATCGGACGAAGCACCGCATGATAAATTAAATTATAAAAAAATTTCGTCATATTTAGTTTCCAGAAATTTATTCATGACATTAATATTTATTTAACATAAAATTTTTTCTTTCAAATATTTTTAATTATATCACTAAATACTTGTATAATATTTAATATCTTTCCTTTTTATAATTAATATTTCTATATAGTATTGTATATTAGAGTCATCTTAGTTTTGAAAGAAAGAAATTATATTCATACATCAATAATTTCAATAACATTTAAAAAATCTTTTCAGTTTCGATTATTGTAATTATTCAAAATGTTAACCAATAAAATCGTTATGCGTCTAAAATTTAGCGAATACATCATTTAATCATTTATGATATCAAAATAAATAAATAAATAAATATTTGCATTGTATTTAATTAAGAAACTTTTTATATGTTTCATTGCATAATTTGCATAAAATAGGCGCATCCTATAATAAACCACGTGATTGGACATTTAGACGCAACGGTCGGATTTGTTGCCAGGTTACACATGATCTGTTCACATGATCCGGACGATTATACTACATTTTACTTACTTTCGCTATAATAGACAGATCATGTATTTTATTTGTAAATATAATTAACGCTAAATAGTTTGTTCTTATACATTACAACCGTCAGAATAACTATTATTCTCATCATAAGAGCTATCAGACTAGTGATGCAGTTGGAACTGTCCCTATGAATTGGCCGACATATAGCGGATTGTGGCCACAGTTACGGCAAAACCGTGTGAAACCCAATGTGACGTTAATGTTATTAATGCCGTAAATTTTACTGTGCCCAATTATGCCATAGAGTATAAATGGTCTAAATAGATAGCATAAATGAAAATAGTTTAATAATATACATGGCTTAACGCCTTAACAGTATAAATTTTTTTAATCTCTCCGAATTTGTTATCAAAATTTAAAGTTTCCATACTGGCTTTAAATAACTACTTTGTATAAATTTTATGGAATAATAATTTTAATAGTAATGAAGGAGAAGAAGAATGAATAATTAGAATGATATAAAAATATGATATTCACATACTTTATTTATGCTTTATAATATATGTTTTTAAGACAAATTTAAAATTTAATATCTGATTTACATAAGTTAAAGTGCCTATTTACGATACATATACCAGTTATGGCGTATTTACCAGTTACGGCGTATTTAACAGTTCCAATATGCCGTATCTTAAAGTAAGAGTTATAACTAGTTATAACTCATCCCAATGTGATCGAGTTCCAACCGCGTCTCTATATCAGACTCATCATCACAATCATTAGCAAAATGATTTGAATTGCCACATTTAAAACATCTATAAGAATTACAATCATCACTTTCACTTCTATAAGAATTACCATCATCACCTTCACCACCATTCTCATCATAAGAGTCATTTTCATTAGAATAATCATTACGATAATTATCAAAATGACTCGGACTGCCACACCTAAAACATCTATAAGGATTATCATCATCATTTTCACTATCATTCTCATCATTTTCACCATCATTTTCATCAGAATCGCCACAATTATTAGCATAATGACTAGAACTGCCACATTTAAAACATATATAAGAATTATCATCACTTTCACCATAATAACTATTAGTCTCATTATTTTCAACGTCATTTTCATCAAAATAATTATCACACTCATTAGCAAAATGAATGAGACTGCCACGTTTAAAACTCCCATAAGAATTGTGGTTATTTTTGTTGTAAGAATAACCACAATATTTAGTGAAATGACCAGTCATACCATAGTTGTAACAAGAATCATTTCTAGAAGAAAGTAATTGACGAATGCTCTGTTTTTCTGTCTTTGATAAATTCACACTAGAATAACAACTACCTCTTACATTATCGATGCCATATTCGTTCATATAATCAAGGGTTTTATTCAGTTCTAAATGTAAATTAACAGTTTTTTCAGACTCAACAATTCTTATTGGACGATATTGGCGTGTCCATTCTGAACCAGAACCATTGCGATGTTCTTTAAACCTAATATTAACACTTCTGCTAGTTTTTCCGATGTAATATTTGTTATTATTGCACTCTAATACATAAACAGTATTCATTTTGGATATAATAATAACTAGATGAAAATACTTTCGTTTGACTATCAATACAAAGAAAAATGCAAACCAAGAATTTTTTTTTTGAAGATCCATCTTTATTAAATAATTCATTAATTCTCACATGAATATGTTTTTAAAGTTTCGAACGCAGTCAATACAGGTTTCCCTTTGTTAAAATTTCCATTTTTATCATGATTCATGAAATGATTTTGCCGATCGAAGATCTTTATTTGTTGGAGTTGCAGATCTTTGTATCGATTACAAGTTATCTTTCAACCATTACCCAAAACGTTGTAAACATTATGTGACCTAATCAACTAAAAAGCACCTCATAAAATAAAGCATCCCATAAAATAAAAATTATTATTCCACTATGGTAGATCATGTCAAACCATTGTACCCCGGATTCTTTTGATATTTTATTGGCTGCTATTGAAGTCAATTGATATGTACCACATGACGGTCCATTTAATCGATCAATAAAAATATACCCCAAGATTTTAGGGACTAGCCGATACGTATGACTAAATATTTGTAACATCTGTAATGTTTATATTGTGTTTAGTTTTGAAACAATATTATTTTCTTTTTTTACTTGACTTTTATAGGTTTTGAAAGGTTTTCACGTGATTCCATTTATAATGCATGAAATGAACGTAACATTTTTTGCGATAAATAGTTGTATTTTATTCATCGAATAATATCGGATCACTGCATGATAAAATAAATTATAAAATGAAATTTAAATTTTACATTCTATTAAGTACTTTCATAATATCTATTAATATTTCTCCTTTTTTATTATTATTCGTTATAATTTGATAATCGATATGTGTCATATATTAAATCTTGCGTTTTAACAAAAGAAATTCATACAACATATCTTCAATAACAATTAAAAATTTTTTTCTAAAGATTATTGTTAAAGAATGTTATTTTCCAAACTGTTAATCAGATATAAATGTTACAACTAAATTTAGTGAAAGTATTTTTTTTTTTTTTTTTTTTATGATATCAAAATAAATAAATATTTGCATTATAATTAATTGTCATATATTATGTACATTTTATAATATAATGATATTTATTAATGATTTAACAAAAATTTAAATTATAAGTAATTATTATATAATCTTGAAATGCTTGAAGTTCGATATAATGAATTTATTATTTATACTTGGTAGATTTTACTTCTTTATTTGTCTATACCGTATTTTAAATAATTTAAAATATAATCATCGTTGATTTTAGTTAGGCAAAATTTATACCGTATTCAAAATCCGCGAGAGTATTATCTAATGTCAATAGTTATAGTTTATTTTAATCATATTAACAAAATTATTATTTACTTTTTTTGGAAAATAAACATTAATAAATTAGTTATTTAATTGGTATTAAACCCATTTTTATATACTATCATTATAATTTCTCTTGATTCATAAATTTTCGTACGTTTATACTTTTGACCACGTGATAGCATTGTTCACCAAATCATTTCCCTTATTGGTAAAAAGATTTGCAATTTAACGAATCATTTGGTTACACAATGTTTATGAATGTAACTTTATTTATATGCGTTCCGAAAATATTTTTTGCTGCTTCAAACTTTATTCTAAAAAAAATTTACAGTATATTTATTTCATTATGTCTGTTAATAGAGAACAATTAATTGATGCTGCAATTGATAGAGCATATGCACTAACAGACTATAATCTTTATGATAATCTACAAAAACGATATGACAAACAATTCTTGCTGATGAATCACTTACAAAAGATGAAAAATCTGAAGCTATAAGAATTTTGACTGCAATTAATGACAGTAGTAAAATTATTTATAATGAAGGAACAAGAAGAGTCTGTGAAAATTGTGGCCAAAATTGTTTAGCTATACTATATTGCGAATATTGTGTTCGAAATTATTTAAAAGCAAAATTTTCAAATTGGACATCTGGAAATGATAATATTGCCATATGATAATTTAGAAAATATTAAATATTTAACAAAAGGTGGATACTCCGAAATCTATACAGCAGTTTGGATTGATGGATCATATTATTTATGGGATTCTAAAGGACAACAATTAAAAAGATTTAGGAAACAAAATGTGGTACTTAAAAGATTAGAAAATGTTGAAAGTGCAAATAAACGTTGGTTTAAAGAGGTTTGTAATCTAAAAATGTTATAATTATTTATTTTAAAGTTTTTCTAATATTTTCTTTATTTTATAGGCTAGTTCACATTTATATATAAGTAATATATGGTCAGATGCGATTGTTCAATGTTATGGTTTAACAAAAGATCCATTAAATGGAGATTATATGCTTGTAATGAATAAATTGGATGCAAATTTAAGACAATATTTACAAAAAAATCATAATCAACTTTCATGGAACGAAAGAATTCGAATTGTTGTTGATATAATTGATGCACTTCATAAAATTCATCATAGTGAAAATGCAATTCATAGAGATTTGCATTCTGGAAATATATTATTTAAAACTAAATTTTGTATTAGTGATCTTGGATTTTGTGGGCCTGCAGATAAACCATTAAAAAGTATATATGGAAATCTTCCTTATATTGCACCAGAAGTTATTGCAGGAAAAGAAACTACTTTTAAATCTGATGTTTATAGTATTGCAATGCTTATGTGGGAAATTTCTTCTGGACAACCACCTTTTAATAATTATGAGCATGATTATTATCTAGCGATGATGAATATTGTTAATGGTATAAGACCAAAAATTGTGCCAGGGACTCCTTTAGAATATAAAAATTTAATTATACAATGTTGGGATGCTAATCCATTAAACAGACCAGATGCTAAAATACTTTAGGATAAAATAAGAGAAATTAATTTATATTACCAAAATAATTCAAATGAATCAACTAAATTAGAAGAAAATGATACTAGATCGGAAATGAATAGCTTAGAAAATTTATACTAGCAGTAGCAGGCTATTTACAAGTAAAGTTCATCAATTTGAAAATCTTCCTGAACCAAGAAATTCAACAGAAGGTATTTATTATAATATATAAATACATTAAAAAAAAAAAATAACAAAAGTTTAATATAAGATTTTCCATTTTATTATATAGAAGAACAACAGGGTATAAATTAAGCAATTTTTTATAATTTTTTAAAAATAATTAATGATAAATTATCTCCCTTTATTAGCATTTCATGGTAACAAATCATATGATTTCCATATCCCTGAGAATAGTAAGTATTTATTAGGTTCAGTTTATATTAATCATTAAAACGACACAAGATATTTATTAATTTTTTTTTTAGTCGATGATATTGGTAAATTGAGTAATCAGAATAACAATTCTTCAGAAATAAGTGGGTAATTTTATTTTTTAAATATTTATTTTTATTTGAGTTTATATTAATTATTTATAAAAATTTTAAGCTAGCAGTAACAAATCATTCAAAAGAAGATTAGATAATGGCAAGTAAATATTGGTATATTTGTCTAATTGTCTAATATTAAACGCTATTTTAATTTTAGATTTTCAAGAAATAGTGCAACAAATGAAGAGATATCGTATTAATAATGACGGTATATATAAATAATTATTTGACCCTTTATAATAATGACGATATTTAGCTTAATTTTATATTATTCCCAAATTTTTTATTTATAGATGATGAAGAAATATATAATAATCTAAATTTTCATTTTGAAGAACAAGATGAATATGAACTTCCCGAGAGTAAGTATTTTAAAAGTTTAAATTTATTTAATCATAAAAAAAGTTTTTAATTACTAAATTCCATTTTTTATTTAAAATAATATTACTTCTAACATATTTAGATATAGAAAACTAATATTAATTTATTACATTTAAAGTTTGTAATAAATAATGTACTAAACACTAAGACTAGAGTAGCAAGATTAGACATCTTTAAAGTTTTTTAGTTTGTAATTTAAATAATTTATTTTCTTTCATATTATAACATATTAATAAATTACTTTATCTAGTATGATTTGTAGTAAATTATCAAATTACGAAAATTAATGAAATATTTATTTTTTGATAATCGTTACAATAAAATTTTAAGTTTATAGTTTTTTTTATAGTTTACACCTCACATTATTTACGAGTGATGACAAAATATTGGTGAATTTTGGCAACTTTTTTAATTGGTTGCATTTTTTTATTTATTTCTGTTAGATCTAATAATCAGTGAATTCTTGAATAAGATATATTTACTACTAGTGATATAATTACATCTAAAAAAAACTTTTTTTGTTAATTTTATACCAACTTCACTTTGAAGATAATTAGACAATTTCCTTTTTTAATTCTACAACACGAACAAAGGTTCTTGCACATTTTATGAGTTGAAATGATATTTCACTGAAGGTTTTCTTTATATTTCCTTTATTTTATTTTTAATTTTTATAAGAAATTTTATTTCAAATAAAATGGACCCAGAAATATATATAGGGTCAGGTGATGAAAAAATTTTTTACTATGAGCTATACGAATTTTTCAGGGTGATAATGTCAGTCGGTTACTATAATATGAAATAAAATTCTGATATGAATTATCAAAAATTAATTCAAAATACGAAAACTCAAACCTGACCCTTTTATATATATTTCTGGGTCCTTGTAGAAGTGTAAATTTTCTATAAGATTTTTAAATTATAAAAATATTATTAATTAAGTTTTATATAAACTCTGTTTTACTGAAAAAAATTGAAAACAAAAAACATCATAAAAATTCTATGTTAATATTACATAATTAAAAGTTCCAAGCTTTCCTTAGTGTTACAGAATAGTTCATATTTGAATCATTTTGAAAACCGCAAAAACTGGTGGGCTGGACTGATCTTTTGGCCGGTCCTTAAAATTTTTTAAATTTTCTTATTTATAACAGTGGGTTGGATCAACGAGATAATGAAATGCAGGTCGCACTAAAAATTATGACATTAACTAGTAGTGTTGCGAAGTCGCAGTGACTTGTTGATAATTCGCCCTAATTGATTATTAATAACCAGTGATTCGGGTTTCGCTAATTTTGTACAAATTTAGTTAAAGTTTTTTTTTTAATTGTATAATATTATAATATTACATTATATTAGTTTCAGTTGTTTTATTAATATTATATTATATTTGTTTTATTAAATGGTTTTTTATTATATATAATTTTAGTTATGATTTGTGGAGTATTGATATTACAAAATACCAACATATGAAAATTTTGGTATTTTGAAATGAAAACTTATTAATAATATATGATTTAACATTTTTATTAGAGTTCCGAATGGGTCAAGTCAGGTCAGGTTAATTGATAAACCTGACCTGAAATTTTTTTTCAGGTCAGGTCAGGTCAGGTTATATCAGATTATCTGTTTGACCTGACCTGAACTGAAACCTGAAAATTTTCAGGATTTTTATTAAAATATCAAAAAAAAATGGTGCAAAACATTTTTTTTGATTCACTTTTTATATTAAAATCGTATAAAAAGGTGAATCGTGATACTGCAACTAATTTTTTTATATAAAAAAGTGAATTCTGATACCGCAATTCACTTTTTATATATAAAATCAATATAAAAAAGTGAATTCTGATATCGCAACTCACTTTTATTATATAAAATTAATATAAAAAAAATGAATCCCAATATCGCAACTCACTTTTATTATATAAAATCAATATAAAAAGTGAATAATAATACCATTACTTATATTATATAAAATCATAGTTTCAGGTCAACAGCAGGTCATTCAGGTTATATTGATGTTACAACCTGAACTGATGCTGAATTGCAATTGTTAAACCTGACCTGATAAATTCAGGTCAACCTGTCAGGTTACCTGAATTTGGTCAATCTGTTCAGAACTCTAATTTTTATATTAGATGATAAATTTATATAAATGGTCCAAGTTCAGACTGGCCTCAAATCTCAGACCAGGACTAGTCTTTGCTGGGACTGATTCAACTCTACTAGAGCTCCATCTTAATTTTTTTTTATATTTAATATTATTTAATTTTTATTATTTTTATTTATTCAGATTATTATGAGTGATTGGTGATAGAGGTCTGCAAATGGAACCCAGAACCCAGAACCCTAATCTGGCCCAGACCTAGATCTGAGTTTGGGCTGGCATGATTTTTTGTTAAACCCAAATTTTCGTAATTCTGGCCAAACCCGTCTTTATTCTGGCTGAAATTAAACTGTCTGAAATTAAATTGGCCGTTTTACAACAAAATGATATAATAATAGTCCAGGTCCAGTCTTGGCCAGATTTTAATATATTAAGACCAGGCTGGGCCAGGCTGGGCATTTTAGGTTAATTTCCAAGTGCGGACTGGGCTGGATTGTAAAATAGAGGTCAATGCAGGCCTCTAATTGGTGATACTGTAGTTAATATTTAAATATGCAGATTATGAACAAATTACATTATTTAATTTAAAAAATTATGGTGATAATGTAAATGTTTACTCTGCATAATTACCATTTTGGATGTAAATGATCATTTCCAAGTTAGTTTTAACAAAAAAATCAAAAAAGTGATATTCAAAATCTTTACCACTCTAAGTATATATTATATATTAATAAATTTTTCATTTTATGATTTTTGCTGTACAACAATGAGGCTTGATGATTGACACTTGTCATACATGTGATCCTTGCATTTTGCATACCATATATACCAAACAAAGCGTTTAATAATAATAATAATAATAAAATTATATTACCTTTTCCAGTTATAGAGCATTTTATATAATTATATAGTAATGGCTCTCAGTAATCATAAAGGTAATGATTATATGTATAGTATAAACATTTAATACAATTAGAAATATTATAAATTTGTTTAATTCTATATTCTGGTAATATTGAATTTGAAAGGAAGCAGCACTGAAGAATTTGAAGGAAGTAACTCTGAAAAAATCAAAGGAAGCGACTCTGAAGAATTTGAAGAAAGTAGTATCAAGGAATCTAAAGGTATGTTAAACATGCTAAAATATTAAATTTTTATTTGTAAATACATTTAAATACTATCTATAATTACCTAATATTCAAATATAATTCAATCTAACTATATTATACAAAAATAATGTTAGATAATTTAGCTCGTAAGTTAATAAGTTATCTTACAATTGAATAATAATGGAATTACTTATCATTTTTTTTACATTTCATGTAATTAAATAATTTATTTAATGATTAATATAATACTATAGTCAGTAAGTTATTAGTTATTTAAATCTTTAATTCTTTACTTTATTTTATTTATTTTTACATACTAATATTCAAATAACTAAATTCTTTATTTAATTAACTATTTAATAATTAATTGTATTACAGATGGTAAGTTACAATAACATATTTATTTGTTTAATATTCTATATAATTCAACTAATTGTATTCTTATTTAAATGACTAGATTGTAAGTGATATATTTAATTTACAGTAAATACTTTTGTATTATATTTATATTTAACTAATAATAATTAATTATAAATAATATTAGGGAGTAAGTTATATTTCTATTATTTATATAATTTAAAGCTAACTAAATTCTTTATTTAAAAAATTATTTAATAATATAGAGGGTAAGTTATTTATTTAAATTCTATTATTACCTATTTATATAATATTTTTATATAATTTAAACTAACTAAATTCTTTATTTAAAAAAATATTTAATAATATAGACAGTAAGTTATTTATTTAATTCTGTTATTACTAATTTACATAATATAATTTAAACTAACTAAATTCTTTATTTAAATAGATCGTAAGTTATAGTTGTTTATTTGATCCTATTGTTACTTATTTATATAATATCTAAATATATTTAAACTAACTAAATTCTTTATCTAAAAAATTATTTTGTAATTTCTTTTAGTTGGTAAGTTACAAGTTATTTATTTAATTCTATTATTACTTATTTACATATATAATTTAAACTAACTATATTCTTTATTTAAAAAATTATTTAATAATATAGGAAGTAAGTTATTTATTTAATACTATTATTACTTATTTATATAATATTTACATATAGTTTAACTAAATTCTTTATTTAAAAATTATATAATAATATAGGAAGTAAGTTATTTATTTAATTCTGTTATTACTTATTTATATAATATTACATATAATTTAAATTAACTAAATTCTTTATTTAAATAGAACGTAAGTTATAGTTGTATATTTAATTCTATTATTACTTATTTATATAATATTTAAATGTATTAATTTAAATTACTAAATTCTTTATTCAAAAAATTATTTTTTAATTTCTTTTAGTTGGTAAGTTATAAGTTATTTATTTAATTCTATTATTACTTATTTATATAATATTTACACTAACTAAATTCTTTATTTAAAAATTATTTAATAATATAGCATGTAAGTTATTTATTTAATTCTATTTATTACTTATTTATATAATCTTTACAAATAATTTAAACTAACTAAATTCATTATTTAAATAGTTTGTAAGTTATTATTTATTTATTTCCATCATTACTTATTTACTTAATATTTACATATAATAATTTAAACTAACTAAATTCTTTATTAAATAGATCGTAAGTTATAAGTTATTTATTTAATTCTATCATTAATTATTTATATAATCTTTACAAATAATTTAAACTAACTAAATTCTTTATTTAAATAGAACGTAAGTTATAGTTATTTATTTAATTCTAATATTACTTATTTATAGAATATTTAAATATAAATTAAACTAACTAAATTCTTTATTTAAATAGATAGTAAGTTATAAGTTAATTATTGAATTCTATTATTACTCATTTATATGGTATTTTAATTTAAACTAACTAAATTCTTTAATTTGAAAAATTATTTGATAATATAGAGTGTAAGTTATTTATTTAATTTTATTATTACTTATTTATATAATATTTTACATATAATTTAAACTAACTTAATTCTTTACTTAAATAGATCGTAAGTTATCATAAGTTATTTATTTAATTCTATTATTACTTATTTATATATAATTTAGACTAACTAAATTCTTCACTTAAATAGAACGTAAGTTATAGTTGTTTATTTAATTCTATTATTACTTATTATATAATATTTACATATAATTTAAATTAACTAAATTTTTTAAATAGATTGTAAGTTATTATTTATTTAATTATATTATTACTTATTTATATATATTTGCATATAGTTCAAATTAACTAAATTCTTATTTAAAAAATTATTTAATAATATAGGGAGTAAGTTATTTATTTAATTCTATAATTACTTATTTGTATATATAATATTTAGGCCGTTCCAACTTGATTATTTGTTTAACGTCCACCACCCCCCTCTATTTTTTAAAAAATTTGAGATCTAATAAACAAATATTATTAAATACCCCCTCTATTTTTGAAAAAATTTAAAAGCTAATAAACATATAATGATAAATAATCCCTTCTGAAATTTTCAAATTTTCCTATGTTTATTTATTTAGTTTGTTTAACTTAAGCCCCCCTCCCCCCTTAATTTTTTCAAAAGGCCTGGACGTTAAACAAACAATTAANTTAGTTTGTTTAACTTAAGCCCCCCTCCCCCCTTAATTTTTTCAAAAGGCCTGGACGTTAAACAAACAATTAAGTTGCAACAGCCTTACATATAATTTGACTAACTAAATTCTTTATTTAAAAAATTAGGGAGTGAGTCATTTATTTAATTATATTGTTACTTATTTATATATTAATATTTACATATAATTTAAACTAACTGGATTCTTCATTTAAAATATTATTTATAATATAGAGTGTAAGTTATTTATTTAATTCTATTATTACTTATTTATATATTATTTACATATAATTTAAACTAACTAAATTCTTTATTTAAAAAATATTTCACAGATGGTAAGTCATTTATTTAATTCTATTATTACTTATTTATATAATATTTACATATAATTTAAACTAACTATATAAATACTTTATTTAAAAAATGATTTTGTTATTTTAATTAGTTAGTAAGTTATAAGTTATCTATTTAATTCTATTTATATAATATTTACATATATTTAAACTAAACTAACTAAATTTGTTATTTATTTTCTAATTTCTTTAGTTGGTAAGTTATGAGTTATTTATTTAATTCTATTATTATTTATTTACATATAATTTAAACTAACTAAATACTTTATTTAAAAATATTTTGTAATTTCTTTTAGTCGGTAAGTCACAAGTTATTTATTTAATTCTATTATTTCTTATTTGCATATAATTTAAATTAACTAAATTCTTTATTTAATAGATCGTAAGTTATAAGTTATTTATTACTTATTTATATAATATTTACATAATTTAAACTAATTAAATTCTTTATTTAAAAAAATATTTAATGATATAGGAAGTAAGTTATTTATTTAATTTTATTATATTTTAAAATATCTACATATAATTTAAACTACCAAATAAATACTTTATTAAAAATTATTTATAATATAGAGAGTAAGTTATTTATTTAATTCTATTATTACTTATTTATATAATATTTGCATATAATTTAAACTAACTAAATTCTTTATTTGAAAAATTATTTATATAATATAGCTTGTAAGTTATTTATTTAATTCTATCATTACTTATTATTATAATATTTGCATTAACTAAATTCTTTATTTAAAAAATTATTTAATAATATAGGGAGTAAGTTATTTATTTAATTCTATTGTTACATATTTATATATAATTTAAACTAACTAAATTCTTTACTTAAATAGAACGTAAGTTATAGTTGTTTATTTAATTCTATTATTACATATTTATATAATATTTACATATAATTTAAACCAACTAAATTGTTTATTTAAAAATTATTTAAAAATAAGCTTGTAAGTTATTTGTTATTTCTATTGTTATGTACTTTATAAATATTTATTGTTAATTGGATCCTTTCATATAAAATTTCTTGTTACTTTAGTTGGTAAGTTGTGAAATATAGGTTATTATTATATATATATATATACAAAAACTAAGATATATATTATATTAAATTTTCTATTTAAATTTCAGAGTAAGTGTTAATCTCAATTTTAAATTTTAATGTAATTTTTAATATAAACTTTAATAATATACTAATTATTTAAATTTATTAGATTTGGAAAAAGTGGAAATACAATTATGGATAATTTTATTTTTGAAAAAAACTTAAGATGGATTCCTTATGATAAACTTAAAAATGTTGAATATCTTGATAAAGGGGGATTTGGTATTATATACAAGGCTATTTGGTTTAACAATAATAAAGATAATGAAGTAATTCTTAAACTTCATAATAATTTAAATGAAAATTTAAATGAATTTTTAAATGAAGTATGATAATATGTTATTTATTTTTTTTAATTTAAATTATAATTTATTTATATTAATATATTATTATTATTACTTTATAGTGGAATTATCATGAAAGTTGTTTAATTTCATATAACATTATTTATTTTCATGGGTTTACAAAAGATCCAGATACTTTGAAATATATGGTGGTAATGGATTATGCAAATGAAGGTAATTTAAGAGGAAACTTAACAAGAATAAGCAAAAGTGATTGGAATCAAAAATTATATATGCTATTTGAAATTATTTCTGGACTTAATAATATACATAAAAAAGAGCTTATTCATTGCGATTTTCATGATGGTAATATTTTAAATCATAGTGAGGGTAGAATTTATATTAGTGATTTAGGATTATGTAAACCTGTAAAATCATATTTGAAAGAATATAATATTTATGGTGTAATACCATTTATGGCACCTGAAGTTTTAAGAGGCAATCCTTATACTCCAGCTAGTGATATGTATGGTTTTTCTATGATTATGTGGGAATTTACATCTGGGAAACCACCATTTAATAATATAGAACATGATTTTCAACTTAGTTTAAGTATTTGTGAAGGTGAACGACCTAAAATTATTGAAAATACTCCACAATGTTATGTAGAATTGATGAAAAAGTGTTGGGATGAAACCCCATTAAAAAGGCCATCTTCTGAAGAAGTGTTAAACATTATTAATAAATGGATGGCTTCTCCATATAATGTTAAAGATATTAATGAAGAATTAAAATACAATATTATGGAATTTATAAATGCACCAATTGGACATAACAATAATATTGATACTGGATCTCATTCGCAGGCATACTATAAAAGTCGCTTACTTGATTTTACTAGTAAACAATTGAATGAAATTCTTGAAAGTAGATATTCACAAGCTAATATAAAAGTGAATGAAAGTGAAGAATTAGATGATTTTATGATTTAAAGTTATTAGGTAAATAATATAGTATAATAAGTATATAAAAAGAATTAATTTTGAAATTATTTATGTGAAATTAATTTTATTTATTTAATTATTTAGACATTAATCCAACCAATTATTTGTGATTTTTATAAGAATTTATAGTTTTTATAAGTGCGTGGTATTTTATGTCATACATTTAACAGAAATTGTTGTTTAGATTTATATAAATACTAAGGCTAGAGTACTAGTAAAATATTTTACAAGATTCTTAGTTTGTAATTTAAATAATTCCTTTTTTTATATTTTATCCATATATGTATTCTCTTTTTTAGGATTATTTAAACACTAAGGTTAGAGTAGTGTATATATTTTACAAATTTCTTAGCTTGTAATTTAAATAAATCGTCTTTTTTTAACTTTTCCAATTATTAAATATAAATTATCAAGATAGTAATAATATAAATATATAAAACCATTTCCAATGCATAAAATGAAAAATAAATAATATAAAATTTTTTGTACTCATTTCAATGGCTGATTGTATTTAATTTATATGTTTTTATTTTTAATATTATTTAAATTTTAAATTCTGCTCTCTATTTTTTTTAAGAAATTATATTATTTTTATATTGGTTGAACTCAGTTTCTGAACTGGTTTGAAACTTTTCTTATTTGATTAATGAATTTATTGTAGTAAAAAAATAAAACCCAAATTAGACTGATTTACTACATTTTTTTCTAATATACCCACTCCGTTTTCAATCCATGATTTTGACACAAAGTTGCTCTTGCTGTTTCTGGATTAAGACGATTTCTTGTTTTAGTATTAGTGTTACCTGCTACAGAAAAAGTCTGTTCACATGCCATACTCGTTTTCTTTAAAAATCGTAATGAGATTCAAAGTTACACAATTATTACATGTGTTATCACTGTTTTGGTCTGGAGTGATAACTAACGTCAGATGTCAAACTGATCAGTTGTGGCAAAAAGGTCAAATAATAAGATTATAGGTGTTTCAATAATTTGTAATAGAAAATTAATAATGAAAGTATAATTCTGGTAAATAATATAAGGGTTTCTTGAGAATAAAAACCTATCAAACAAATGATGACAAAACACAAGGTAAAACAAGTAAAACACGCGAAAAGTTTATTGTAAAAAAAAACTAATAATTAAATCATACAAAAAAAAACAATACTTCGGATAACACAATCTAAACTCTCTGTTAGATCTTCCCAGGTGTTAACAACTTTTATTCAAAAGAAAATATTGCCCTATATCAGATATATGTTTACATTTTCACACATGACAGTTTGAACTTATCAATATTATCCTATTATACTAATATGATTAATCAATCAATTGTCCTTTTTTCATTGCAATTATCTGCAAAAACCTTTCTATTACCATTTTGTATAAGTTCCACATGTCTATATAATTCATCAACTATGTAAATCTCAAGAAGCTTCTCTAGCTAACTAATAAAGCAATTTTACTAATGTTATAATAATTAAACTGATACTTATAATTGAATATTTATGAGTCAAAAGAAATAATATTACTAAAAATGGCTAATTAATGTAAATAACTAATAAAACTAAAATATATTATAAGAAATGTTTCATATTGTAATATTGTAATATAATCATGGGATTTCTGCGCACTACATCATGTGACTTGTTCGATCTTCAACTAATTCCAAAAATATTTTTTTTTCTGTTTCAGGCTTATTGCAGTATATTTATTTCATAATATCTGTTATTAGAGAAAATTTAATTAATGCTGCAATTAATACTAACAGATTATAAGATTCACGTATACACAAACAATATGAATTTCAAAAACCAATAATAGAAATGATGATATTGATAATTTAATACGAAAATGTCAAATTAAAACGCCTAAACCAAATGGGATAATTGAATGGATTCCATATAGTAATTAAATATTTAACAAAAGGTGGATGTTCCGAAATTTATATAGCAAAATAGATTGGACATTTTAAGGAATGGGATTCTATAGAACAACAATTAAAAATACGTACTAATAATATATCTTTATTTTATAGGCTACTTCACATTTGAATATAAGGAAATATTTACAACGAAACCACAATCAACTTACATGGAAAAAAAGAATTCAAATTGCTGCTTGTATAATTAAAGCACTTTTACGGGTTCATGGCGAGAATGCAATTCATAGAGATTTGCAATCCGGAAATATATTATTATTCAAATTTGGTGAAGTATTTAATATTACTATTTACTTGTTTGATTTTTGAAATTTTGTTTGAAATTTTTTAGTAATTATTTGATTTTTTTGTAACGTTAGTATTGTAAATCTAATTTTTTTTAGTTGATAATGTTGATAAATTAAATATTCAGAACAGTTCATCAAAAATAAATAGCATTTTCAAGGGTAATTTTATTTTCATATACTTATTTTTTATTGGAAATAATCAATAAATCAATATTAATATATGGCTATATTTTTATAATAATTAACGTATTAATTTAATCACTTAATATTAAATGTAATTTTGTTTAATTTTTGATGTTCAAGAAATAATGCAAGAACAAATATCGCGTTAATATTGATGGTACATAAATAATTAACTTTGTAGTAATAATAATTTATTAATTTTATACTCCCGAATTTCTTATTTATAGATGACGAAGAAATATATAATAATCCAATTTTTCATTCTAAAGAACAAGATGAATTTAAACTTCCTGAGAGTAAATATTTTTTAAAGTCAAAGTTTATTTAATCTTAAAAAAGTTCTTGATCACTAAATTTCATAAAATATTTCTTCTAACGTATTTAGATACGGACGAATTATGCAAAACTAAGTAACATTAATATTACATTATTACATTTAATTAATTTGAAGTTTATTTTTTATTATAAATTATTTAAACACTAAGACTAAAAATGGGTTATTCTTATCGCTGTAACATTAAAAAATTAAAAGTCCGGTTTTTTTTAACGATGTTAATATTAGATATTAAATATAATTCTGGAACAGAATTCTTATAACTTTTAGTCAGCATCATTAACAGTAACTTTGACAGTGTCTATTATGGCAATTGTGAATTTCAAAGAAGCGATAAAAAAATTTTGATAATGTAAAAATAACATATGATAAAATAAATATAGTTAAAGTAAAACGAAGCTTTTATTATAATTATAAATCTTAGAAATTAAAACTTTCCCACATTCGGGTATTTTTTTCCTAAAAAAAATATTACCGATTAAATATTACGTCACAAAAAAAAAATATTTCTTTTTTTTTACGGATAATAGGATCATCAAAAGCATAGTTTGTTACACCATCCCCTCGAATTTTTTTTATGTCACGTTAAACAAAAATGTGCATACTTTCAAGTCTTTCATATCTCGGCCCATTCACTGTCGCACAGCCTTCTACTGTCGTAGATCTTTTTTTTTTATATTTATTTATCTTGACAAATTTCTACTAAAACTTTTTATTTATTTATTTTTTTTTTTTTAAAGAAAAAAATAATGTCTAGCATTTTATACAATACATCCAACACAGACGGTATACAAGAAAATAATACAGATTATGAACATGATGAAAATTTCTTTGACATTTTATATAATACGCCCAATACTACAGAAGACGATATACAACAAAAAGAAAAAATTGATTACGAAAATGATGAAAATTTCTTTAAAGAGTTGGTCACCGATTTTCATCATATGATTACGTATACAAATGATATTGATGACGTTGAAAATTTTGAAAGTAATGTAATTGAATGGATAAATAATATAGAAGAATTTAAAGATATAAAATTTAAAAAAGTTATTGAATCAATGGAAGTTCATCAACAAAGTGAATCATGGTTTTCAAGTTTAATTGGATTTTTTTATCAACATGGTATCGTAAATATTAATAAGAATATAGAAAAAGCATTAAAATTATATTTATTATCTATTGATATAAAAATATTAAATAATAATGATCATCTAAAAAATTATAATATCATTATTGGAAAATATTTATTATCATTATATTATTATAAAGGTATTATTTTATTTAAAAGAAATTCTTTTAAATGGGCTATTAAAAATAATGAAAGTTCTTTTGCTCAATATCAAATAGGAAATTGTTATTATAATGGTAAAGGAGTTAATGTTGATATTAAACAAGCATTTGAATGGTATTTAAAATCTGCCAAAAAAGAAAATTCCATTGCACAAAATAAGATTGGTTATTGTTATCAATATGGAATTGGAATATGTAAGGATGGAAAGAAAGCATTTGAATGGTATTTAAAATCATCTAAAAAAGGAAATTCGGAAGGACAAGATAATTTAGGTTATTGTTATCAATATGGGATTGGTATAGATATTGATAAAAAGAAAGCATTTGATTTATATTTAGAGTCCGCTAAAAAAGGAAATTATAATGCTTGCAATCATTTAGGAATTTGTTATCAATATGGTTATGGAATAAATGTAGATAAAAGAAAAGCATTTGAATGTTATCTAAAATCCGCTGAAAATAATTTAGAAGGACAAAATAATTTAGGTTATTGTTATCAGCATGGAATTGGAACATTTATAGATAAAAGGCAAGGTTTTAAATTTTATTTAAAATCTGCTATGAAAGGAAATCACAATGCACAAAATAATTTAGGTAATTGTTATCAATATGGGATTGGAGTAAACATGAATGAAAAAAAAGCATATGAATGGTATTTAAAATCAGCTAAAAGAGGGAATCATAATGCACAAAATAATTTAGCATTCTGTTATAAGAATGAATTTGGAACAATTAAAAATTATAATTTAGCATTTAAGTGGTATTTAAAATCAGCTGAAGGTGGAAATTATAATGCACAAAATAATTTAGGTGATTGTTATAGAAATGGATTAGAAACGAATATAAATTATAATAAAGCATTCGAATGGTATTTAAAGTCAGCTGAAGGTGAAAATTATGATGCACAAAATAATTTGGGTAATTGTTATAGAAATGGATTAGGAACAAATAAAAATTACAATAAAGCATTTGAATGGTATTTAAAATCAGCTAAAGGAGGGAATCACAATGCACAATATAATTTAGCATTTTGTTTTAAGGATGGTTTAGGAACAAATAAAAATTATAGTATCGCATTTAAGTGGTACTCAATATCAGCTGAAGGCAAAAATCATAATGCACAAAATGCATTAGGTTACTGTTAT